CAGCTTCTTCTAATTCCTCATGATTTTTAATTGAACCTGGAACAGAAAGATTGGTGTTCAAATGGTCTCTATATGCGTCCCAGTCCATGCAGCCTTTTATGAGCCTAGGTCTTTTTTGTGCTTCGGAAGGCCCGTCGAAGAGAACCATGTGCACTGAGGAGTGATCAGAACAAAGATCGGAGGTTGTATTGACGGCAAATGGTACGGTTCTTAATCCTTTTGTAATAAAGAAATCAAATAAGTCGGGAGGTGGGCCAATAAGTTGGTGAATTTGGTGTTACAGTGTCTAATGAAAGTTCATGGAGGACAGACCAGAGATTTCTGCCTCTTGGAGTACACAACCTTGAGCCCCAGCCTTGATGCTTAGCATTATAGTCTCCACCTGCGATGAAGCGTCTTCCGAGGTGTTTGAAGAACTCAGAAAACATCGTGGGTGTAAGCTTGTACCTTGGGGGACAGTAAACTGAGGCAAATGTTATAGTTTAGTGTGTAGTGTTATTCCTGTCGATTGGATGCCGGGTGTAATGGGCAAGTCTACGGGATTGTGTTTCAGTGAATTTTTAACGAGTATAGCTGTTCCTCCATGTGCGTTTTATCTGGGTGATCAGTTCTATAAATTGTGTAATCCTGAATGTAAATTTTTGATCGAGATGTCAGGTGTGTTTCTGTAATGAGTGCCACGTCGATCCGTTTTTCGTGCAAGTATAAGTCGAGTTCAGTACTGTGCTGTTTTAGTCCGTTGGCATTCCATAGAAGAACTGACAAGGAGCCTACAGTCAAATTATTGTGGGACATAATTTGGACACCAGATCTGTGTAACCTGTGACAGTTGTTGAATAAGAATGAAAAGGGGCTGGATTAGGTTATTTGATCCATTAATTATATTAAACAATTGGGAAGAGCCATTATCTACCGGAGGTATTGGTTGGGTAATGCCTCTCCTCGTACCTATACATGTTTTCTGGTTCTGGGGTGCTGACCTAGATGATGTTTTGATTTTGTTGTTGCGGCGGTCCTGCGATGCTCTGTGGTTTCGCTTGGTTGATCCGCTGCCGTATTGGAGGGAATTCATGCATGCCTGGAGGTCCCTGCTCTGGCTCTACTACTGTGGGACGCTAAAGACGATTTCTTGCATTGCGCTGAACCCTGAGATCTTTCAGCGTCTGGCAGCCTCTGTAGTTAGCGGGATGCTGACCCGCACAGTTGGCGCATTTCGCGGGGATGTCTCTGGTTTTTAAACATGAGCTGGTTTCATGATATTCACCACACTTTATGCATCGTGGTCGATGGTTGCAATATGTTTTAGGGTGCCCATGTTGCTGGCACCGAATACACTGAGGAATATTTCTCTTTTGACGCGGTTCCTCAATTTTAATATGTGAATAATATAGAAATCCAACACTAAAAAAATCTTCTCTAAATGTCTCTTTTGTAATGTCCACAAAGAAGAACATAAGAAGGGATTTTTTGAATTGAGATATGACGTTAACTACATTGGTGGCTTCGTAACCCAATTTTTTAAATTCTTCTTTAATGATATCGATTGGTGTTCCATGGTGAAGATATTTAACAACAATCCTTGGGCATTTGTCCTGTGGAAGTTGGTAAGTATGGAAGTCGATGCCTTTATTTCGCAGGCTAGAATTTAATTTTCGATAAACGTCAGGATTTTCTTGAGTAAACAGTGACACCTTTCAATGTATATTTCATTTTAAACATATTAGGACCCGTTTCGTTTTCTAGAAATGAGATTAATGCATGGTAATTCTCAACACCGTTTATAAAAATTGGTGGAGTTTTATCGTTTTGAGGCGTTCTTCTGTTTGTAAGTTAGTTATGTTGGTAAGAACCTGAAAACTGTTCGAGGTTGGGATAGATTCTGTCGGTCGTTTTTGAGCTCTTGGCTCGCTCGAATCTATCATAGGTCTTTTACGACCAATAACCAGTTCCCAGGAGCCATCTTCATTGTTTATATTACTGTTTTTAAAGTTCATGTTACTTACCTCAGTTTGAGATGATTCCACCATTGTTGGCAGTGAAATCCGCTCCATCTTTGTTTGGTGTTTTGTCCTTAGCAATCTTGTCTTGTTAAAATACTTTTGTTACACAAAAATTAAGTATTTACACTTAATTAACACTTTTTTTGGAAGACAAAACTAAATTAACCTTTCACCTTATTTAACATCAACCTCACCAAACCTCACAGCCAAAAAAAATTGGCTTCTCACAGAACAACCGCTTGCATCCATGACGTCCAAAATATTTCAACATTTGCTCATCGTAATCTAGACTTTCACAAGGAATGAAATATTTCAAAAAATTGTCTTTTATTATATCCATAAATAGATGCTAGTTGTTCATTTTGTCTAGATTGTTGAGCTAGATATTATCTGCTGCTTGGATAAATTTCATTATATGTATAAAACGATCTCTTCTAATGCAATTTGAAACAAAATATTATTAACTAACATCTTCCATTTGCTTCCTCACTACCGAAGGTAGGGAAGCATTGTGTTCGTGCGAGAGATTAAAAATATTTTGTGCTCAGAATCAAAAATTTCCACTCATGTTTTACGTTTCAGACATCAAGGATCAAATTTGGTTCGCTGTCTGTCTGTTTGTAGTCAAATCGATGTGACGGGCATATCACCTAGTATCTTTCATCCGATTTTCATAGTTGGTGCCTAGATGGTCCTATATCAATTTTTTAGATATGCCAATATTTTAGAAAAGGCTCGTTCGGTTTGGCTCGAAGTTGGATAAAATGTATAGGTAATGGTGAAAAAAATAACTTAATGTCAATTTCAATCCCCTAACAACTTCCGATTAAATTCACAACCCCTAAAGAAATTCAAGAACTAATTAGGAGTCTCAAAGTAAAAAAAAGTCCAGGGCATGACCTTATACCAGTTATTGCTTTAAAAAATTTTCCTAGAAAAGCTCTCGTTTACATTACGTCTATTTTTAATAGCTGTCTACGCACTGGATATTTTCCCGAAACGTGGAAGAAAGCTGAACTCGTAATAATTCATAAGCATGGTAAAAACGCTAAACAAGTCAGTAGCTATAGACCGATAAGTTTATTACCCATAGTTGGAAAATTACTAGAGTCAGTCATAAAAAGACATCTTGCATCCTTTTTACAATGTAATAGCATTATTCCTGATTTTCAATTTGGTTTTCAGTATAGTCATTCCACTTCACACCAACTGGCAAGATTATCAGAATTCATAGTAAATGGGTTTGAAATGAAAAAACATACTCTTGTTACGTTTTTAGACTTTCAACAAGCGTTTGATAAGGTTTGGCATTGTGGTCTATTGTACAAGCTAAAGAAAGTGGACACGCCCAAATATTTATCTTACGTTCTGAGCTCATTCATCAACGGCAGAACATTTACAGTTAGAATAAATAATATAAATTCAACCTTAAGACAAATCCATGCCGGCACCCCACAAGGTTCTGTTCTTTCTCCCATACTTTTTAACTTTTATGTTCACGACATTATCCAATCCACAAACACCTCCATAGCTATGTTTGCCGACGATACAGCTGTCTTTTCCCAACACAATGATATATTAATAGCCAGAAATACACTGCAGTCTTACCTAGTAAATCTAGAACAATACTTAAAATGGATGATTTGTCTCAACACCGAAAAATGTACAGCAAAAATTTTTACTCTTAGACGTCCCTCAGACCCACCTGAACTGATTCTCAAAAATAAAGAACTAAAATGGAACCCCGCTAGTGAAGCAGTAAAATATCTCGGAGTTTATCTGGACCGCCGCCTTACGTGGAATTACCATATAAATAATAAACTGACCCAAACATACGCAAGGTTAGCAATGTTATATCCCATAGTAAATAGAAAATCTAGTTTAAAACCAGAGACAACTGTTCTTATTCATAAAACCATACTAAGACCCTTGCTAATGTACGGACGTGAAGTCTGGGGAGCCGCTTCAGCTACAAAAAGAAAAAAACTACAATCCTTTCAAAACAAGGTATTAAGAATTGCAGTAGATGCCCCCTGGTTCATAAGAAACGCTCAACTACACCGAGAACTAAAAGTGGCACTTTATATCACTGATGTAATACATTTTTACAATTTTCTTGAAAACGGCTCTTAACGATTTTGATTAAACTCGGTATATCAGTGTTTTATTAAGTGGTATTTAATATCAGCTATGTCTTATCCACATTGATTTTGACTTACACGCCTTACCCTTAATTTGGTTTATTTAAAAAAATCAACTGTCACTCATTGTTAGGAGTTTAAAAAATGTTAAACTTATATAATTATTTCAAAGTTCGAAAAAAAGTATTTAAAATCCACCGAATAAAGGCAATGACATTGTTTATGGATGTTTAAAACATATTTTTATAACCTTAAATATATTCACTGTAGTTTAATAACTCTAGATCTGATATTATATTTAAATAATGAGGTTGTCAGTTTATTCCAAAAATTCATCATGTAACCTTTTAGGCCTTCATGTAACCTTAGTAAATAATTTGATGAATTTTCCATTTGTGAAATCCCAGCATTATCCACTTACAATAAGTGTGACAATTTTTGACCTATGTAAGCCAGACAATGAAAGTCTCGTAATTTCATTTGTAAACTTTATAATGGAAAATTTATATTATATTCTCCCATATCTTTTAACCAACAAGATTACAGTATTACAGCAACAAGAGCTTCCTCACATGCCTCAGTTCATTAGATAATTATTGTTTCTCACTGCTTTACACGATTTTCATTTTATGATGGCTGTTTCAACTTTCTATTTACTCGGTTCTGCATTTATCTGCATCTCTAAGGAAGAGACATATATATGAACGTATTTCATTTATTAAGTGACAAGCACCATATTGGGAAAACAATATTGCTTACTCCTCAATATTTATAAATATATAAATGTATCGTGTGTATAATTTTGAAGTTTTTAGTGTTTCTAATTTCGTCTTCTTTTAAGATTCTAATAATGTTACAGAGGTTACAACAAACCAGTGAACTAGTTTTACTTGAAAGACTGTTTGTTGCTGATGAAACTACGAGGTTAGAGCAGATTAAGCAAGAAGCAAATGCTCCTGCTCCTACAACTACTGCCACATCCTCATCATCTTCATCATGTGAGTAAATTAATCAGTTTCTAATATATTTTTCAAAACATATTTATTTATATTTGTAACTCAGATGTTTAATGCACTGTGTTACTTTCCCTGTTTTTAAAGGAAAGTAGTTTGGATGTTAGTGATTTTTCCCTCCAAATTAGAGTGCAGTTGTGGTACATCTGTTATTTTAAAAACATTTTAACATACTCAACTCATAGAAAAGCAGCTGGGCCAGATGGGATTGCACCCGAATTTATAAAATATGGAGGAAATCAGCTAGTCTAGTGTCTCCAAACACTATTCCAAAAGGTTTGGGATCTTAAAAGGATACCCATAGAATGGGAAAACAACATCATTATCCCAATCCTTAAGAAAGGAAGCCGAAGTGTATGCGATAATTACCGCCCCATATGTCTGTCATCTGTGGTATACAAAGTATACACTTGAGTCCTGGAACAAAGATTAATAACCCTGGAGCCAGGGCCCAAAAATCGAACTGATCGCAGGCAAAGGTTTGATTGTAAATTACGAAAGTGTATGTTATTCTGAGTAAAAAGAACCCTGTCTGCCGTTCCAGAACCGCTGCTTTCAAAAATGGCGGCTGATTTAAAGAATATTAGGCCAATAATTTGAGGATCGAAACGGGAAATCCAATGCGAAAAATGTGAGAAAAGTTTTTATTTGTTTAACTTGTATATGTGGGTTTAGACATGTAAAAAACAAAATTGCTATTGCGGGCCACCAAGGGAAAACTATTTGCAGCCAAAAAAGTCAGATTTTTTTTTCGATATATTTTTTTTTCACCTATAACTCCTAAACGATGTATCAAAGCGAAAAATGTATTCTTTAATAAATTAAAGAATGTTAAATTTTGCATCAAACAAGTACATACATTTTATAATTTGGTTATGCGGTAAGGTATAAAACTACGGTCAACCAATGCTGTTTACCAAATTTGTTAAAAACTTGGACAAATTACTATAAATGTTCCTGTAACTTGGAAATGAGTTCCCTAAGTGGAAAAACCCATAGAATCAAAGTTGTAGAGCAATAAATTTTGTGTCAACTGAGTACTAACATTTTTATTGTAGGCCAATTATATATCTCGAATCGGGATTCGTTATTTCTTTATAAACATCGGTATTTTTGACATATCGTTTACCAAAATCCTTTGCTGTTGAGAGGTGGAAAAGAGAATTATACTGCATTTAACAGACTGTAAATAAAAATAACTCAGTGGAATAGACACCCATACTTTTAAAATATTGAAAATCATGTTTACCTTCATTACCAATTTCTAACTATCGGGAGATTACCAATTTTATTCGCAGTAAGTGACTTACATTAAATTAATTATTACTAAGTTGACGCAAAATTTGATGCTCTACAACTTTGATTCTATAGGTTTTTCTTCTTAGGGAACTCATTTCCAAGTTACAGGGCCATTTATAGTAATTTGTCTCAGTTTTTGACAAATTTGGAAAAAATCAGCTTTGGTTGACCGTAGTTTTATATCTTATCACGTAACCAAATTTTTGGAAGATAAGAGAATCCCACAAAATCTTATTAGTACAAACAAGTCAATTTACCAAGACCCAAAGGGAATAATAAGGCTAGCCGACACTGAGTCCAGATAATCCCATTTCTTTTGGGGAGATAAACAGGGCGATATCCTGAACCACCCTCTACTGTAAATTTCGTAAAAGGAGGACATCCTGAGCAATAATGGGATACTGGAATAGGACCCCAGGCATTGTTGTACGCAGATGATGTGGTACTGGTTGTGGATACTGTTGAATCACTCCAGGTCGCTGTGGATGAATAGGGAGAAGAACTGCAACTCAGAAGCATGCAGATCAATCCCTCCAAAAGCAAGGTTATGTGTGTTGGATGAAGGAACGAGGATCTTAGAATGACTTGTAATGGAGGGACCCTTAAGCAAACAGATACCTACTGCTACCTGGGAACAATGATTGGCAACGATGGAAGAATAGACCAGGAGGTCATGAATAGAGTCCAAAAGGCCTATGGAATATACTACCAAATATCCATGACACTCATTGGAAAGCAGGAGTTGAGCAGAAAAGCGAAGAATCTGCTATTCAAATCACTTTTTCTTCCAGTGCTACTGTACGGATCGGAAAGCTGGACACTCTTGGACTGCCATGCCAGCAAGATTGTCTCTGCAGAAATGAGATTCCTACAGAAAATATTAGGAAAAACCAGGTGAGATCAAATAAGGAATAAAAGGGTGCAAGATGAACTAGGAGTTAGATCGGCCCTAGAGATGATTGAAGAAAGGCAGTTGTAGTGATACGGGCATGTTAACAGAATAGGAGATGACCGTAAGGCCAGGTGGCTTCTAGAAGCAAGACCGGGAGGAAGGTGACCTCAAGGCAGGCTGAGGCTTAAGTACGAAGAATTGATCGAGAGAATTAGCACAGATGAAGCATCATGTCGGAGATGAGAAGGTTTGCACAGGACAGGGAGTGTTGGACAAGATGGTCAGAGGCAGCTACTCCATGCTTAGCAGCACACTGGAGATAGTGAGAGAAGAAGAAGCTAAGATACTCACAACTAGAGCGTTCCTACTGGAATTTATTTAAGATTGGATCATAAAAGTTTTTTTACGTTTTTTTGAATCTGAAATTTCAGTCTAGTATCTTTTTTTTTTTTATTGGATTACCCCTACCCACTATACACCATTTCTGGCATATATGGGGGGATTCTAGATGTACAACCATACCTATTCTAACCAGAGAATGGAAGGTCGAGTTCTATTCTGTGGATCTACCATAAAATTACTTTTTATTTCTTTTTTTAAAATTAATAGTTACAAGGAACACGATATACAAGTCATGGGGATGTAGAGAGAGGGGCAGGGGTGCACGGTAGGGGCCCACGGTGTATTACATTTAGTTATTAAATTTCATTTAATTTCCTTGAAAACATATAATTTACGTTAAATATTATTAGTTTTAAAAAATACTATTTATAATTTTTTTGCCACACTCCATTACCTTCTACAACTTTCTATATTAGATATTGTTTTTTCTTAAGTTCTCCGCTTTCCGTTTTACCTATACCTTCTGACTAGTATTTCCGGGGATTCATTTTTGACCTTGGTAAGCTTTATTATTTTTTCCTCCTTTATTCAATTTTCAAATTCTTCCAAAGTTATATTTAGGATTTTTTTGTAACTCGTAATAATGAGAGATTACTTATTTAAAATGAGAGAGATTACTTATTTAAAATAATGAGAGATTAATTATTTAAATAAACTATATTAAATGTACTTTGAAGAAAGACGCATATGAGCTTTGGGCATTTAAGCCCTGTAAAGTGACATCAAAGGGGATAAAACCTAAATGATATTAAAGACCACTTAATTATACAATGATACACCGAATTTAATCAAAATCGTTAGAGCCGTTTTTGAGAAAATTGTAAAAATGTGTTTCAGCGTTGAAATAAAGTGGCACTTCTGGTTAGCCGATTTTAAGGGAAAAGTTGCTGTCACATCTAAGACATATACCTATCTTAAATACGTAATATCAGTTTCGTACGACTTTTCGTTTTTGAGCTAGGCTACTAACATACGAACACACAGACCATTTTTTGGGACTTCGTTATTTGGACTCAGGGTACCCCAAAACGTGTATTTCCATTGAAAACTCAGATTCAAACATTTTCATGATCGCAATACTTACCATTGCTATGTATTAAATATACACATAAGTGAAAGTAACAATGGTTTATTATTTCCAAACTATTTAACATCAAAATTAAGATTACTTTCAATGTAACATTAAGGATAATAAATAAATAAATAAAATAAAGGGATTCCTAAACATTGGCCTTCATAATTTTGTTTTTATCATTGATAATTTGCTTACAAAAATAGACAACATTGCTACAGTTGATGTAAAACTTTCTAAAAATCAAAAACCAAAACAAAAGATATAAGCATTGCAGTAGAAGATATAAAACATATTTAGAACACCATTGGTGGTATGCATAGTTGTCCCTTAAAAAAAACCTGTACCACTACAACCCATGAAGGATCTGGGGTTCAGTACTATTTAGGGAAAACACTGTTTCTAGGTCAACGGTTGTGCAAGGAGGTGATTTGACCGAGATCACGCACAATCGCCAGGTTTTCCCCCTTAATTAATTATTTAATTAAGGGTACCCACTTTATAGAGGCTGGGTGTGCCCCAGGAGGGACTTCTGACCCAAGGTCGCCCCACGGCCAATGAAACAGATAAATAAATTTTCTGCCATGAGCCGGGGTTCGAACTCGGGACCCTTGCATTGGAAGCTCAGTGCCCTACCACTGAGCCACCCCGCTCCTTTGTTCTGGCCTTCATAATTTTGTTTTTTATCATTGATAATTTGCTTACAAAAATAGACAACATTGCTACAGTTGATGTAAAACTTTCTAAAAATCAAAAACCAAAACAAAAGATATAAGCATTGTAGTAGAACATATAAAACATATTTAGAACACCATTGGTGGTATGCATAGTTGTCCCTTATACTTCACTATTCCCTTAGCGTCCCTAAAATGCTGGTAGTCAGAGTCCACTCCTTCAAATTCCCTTCTATCATAGGGGACAGTTGGGTGGGATAGAGGGCCCTTCATTGTTCCTAAAACTCCCTTTACTCCTCCCATTCACTACAACTTATATTTAACTGATAGAAAATGTAATTACCGTGTTATTATTATTATTTCTGCTATTATTATACTTCTTTTTATTTTAATGAAATTTAAACTGTATTATATTAAAAATACAACAAGTAAATGTGACATTGGTAACATGACTTGTACAACATGAAGAGAAACTACCCATTGATAGAACTCAAATTAAAGTTCTATATTAGACGGTCCCGAGGCCAGCTTCTTTTCAGACGCCTCGGAGGGTTATCAGAGATCAAGGAGGAAGCAAGGTTTGAAACGAGAGGGTTCGGATGGTTTTGCAGTTAGTTATGGAAGGATAGGTATCTGGATTGGGCCA